CAATCTCTGTGAGTGGGAGATCCTCTACCCGCAACCACTTCCCTTCTGATCGGCTTGGGATGCAGCCCTGGAGATGCCACACCTTCCCACTTCCTGCAGCGGGCTCCAGAGGCCAACATCTGGAATATCACAGACCTCGGCTGCTACCGCTGTTCCCAAAAGCCTGCACAGATGGAGCGTCTCAGCCTGCAACTGGGAGGTAAAGTTGGGGGCCTCGAGCTCGCTAAAGCTACAAAGCAGCCCCAACACTTCCACACCATGATGCTGGATGCCTCGCTCCCAGGGGAGATCGGTGGTTTCCTGCCGCAGAGGCCAACATCTGGAATATCACAGACCTCGGCTGCTACCGCTGTTCCCAAAAGCCTGCACAGATGGAGCGTCTCAGCCTGCAACTGGGAGGTAAAGTTGGGGGCCTCGAGCTCGCTAAAGCTACAAAGCAGCCCCAACACTTCCACACCATGATGCTGGATGCCTCGCTCCCAGGGGAGATCGGTGGTTTCCTGCCGTTTGTTCTTTGAAGAGCTGCACTTTACACTTACTGTGAGGTTGCAAGGCTTCGGGCTTCCTGTTTTCTGCTTTCCACATATCTGCTGCCTGGAGAGTATCATCATCATCAATCCATGGCAAGTGGAAAGCATTTAAAAATCGACATCCGACTCTGAGCTACTGAGTTGTTGACATAAAAACTTGTTGTTGTTTTTGGGGGAGCTGAGGAAGAGGGGGAAGGAAGGAAGAAAGGAAGGAAGGAAAGGGAAAAGGCCTGGAAACGATCGCGCTGCTGAATGAACCTCTGCCTGCCGGATATTCTGAGCTGTTCTACTTAATACACACGCACACACACACATATATAAGCAATGCCTGCCAACTGCCTCAGCAGATACCAGCAGCTCAGGGGAAGGAAAGCTCTCAAAGGTGCAACCGTTCATCTGCACAGAGCCCAAGCTGCTGCCGCAGCTCGGGGACGGCTGGTTTCAGCAATGGAGCACGGCACAGGGGAGACTGGCCGCGTCAGCCGGGCCGCCTTCCTCCGTACAAGGTGTCTCAGACAAAAATCTCGCAACAGCAAACGCAGCAGGAGTGGAGGGAAATCAGCAAGCGCTGGCAAGAGAAAAAAAAAAATATATAGTCAAGGATGTGAGAACAGGTTGGATGGAGATGTCCAAGAAAGCTGGCCAAGACACCCAGAGCTGCAGAGTAGTTGGTTCTTGCAACAGCCTGGAAGGACACTGGTGTTGGAAACACTGCGAAAGAGGACGAGAGGCAAAATCTTGTGGAGCAAGGCAATGTGGGGGCTCCTGAAACAAAGTGGAACGGGTGTGAAGAGCTGAGGCTGGTGGACTACTGCTCTGGGGGACCGCAGACAGCAGGACCTTCTGCCGGCTGGTCACCAGCCCCTGGAAAAAGGGCAACCAGAGAGACGCAAAAAACACTGATAAGGGATTTTATCAGTCCTTGTCTTCATCGCCTGCCTGGCTTAAATTTTGTACTGACAGTTTGGAGCTGTTACAGAAAATTGCTGCTCTACGGCAGCAGACAACTACCAAATCCTTTAAAATAAAACATGACAATCAAGACGTGAAGGGAGTGGCAGAATTAGCCCTCCGCCTCCTGGGGAAAATGTCATGTCCCAAGGAGAAACTGCCCCATAAACACGAGTGCCCACGCATCCTGAGGAATTAGCCGCGATGAGTGTCCCAGAGAGGAAGGATCAGAGATGTTAGTCTGTTCAAGGGATTAGGTCACCAATGCCGTTATAAAGACAAGGTCTCCACCGCGCTCGCTGTCGGGGTACTTATTTTAGAGCAGGTACGCAGGTTGGTTTTCAGGGACAGCTACAGTGAGGTCCCACAGCTTTTTTTGCACGGGACAAAGGCAAAGACCATCTGCTTAAGAAGGGAAAATACCACAGCCAGCTGCAAGCAACAGCACTTGGGATAGGAGTCTCAAATACACGAGAATACAAAATGCTTTTTTAATTTGCTTTTAAAGCAAATGCTGTGCAGCACAAATTAATTCACGCCCGAGCACTAAGCATCTCAGCTTATAAGCCTTTCTTTGGAAACAGTTATATTCAGCGATCTGAACCACTCCTCCTCCTCCATCTGCTCAGAAAGGATGAACAAACAAGCCATTGCTGAAAGAAGGAAGGAAGGAAGGAAGCCCGTTCAGCCATCTCCGAGGAAAACTGTGCCAGCCCAAAAGAGCTCTTCCCCTCACCACCCCCCCCAAAAAAAAAAAAAAAAAAAAGAAAAAAAGAAGAAAAAAAAGAAAAAAAAAAGAAACCGATCCCAAACCAAAATACTCTCCCTGGTTGGGGCTCCCCCTCACTCCTCGCACGAGGAACCAAGTGCTGGTCACACGCGGCAACAGGTTCTGCTCGCTCACATCTCCCTCCCACGCGCGCGCACACGCACACGCTCGCAAAATGGGACGAGTCAAAGTGCCGGCTTGACTCATCAGCCACATGATCAAAGGCTGGATCTAAAAAGGGGGAACTGGTTTACTCACTGTCTTGGGTACAATCTGTTTCTTGGGCTGCCCGATCTTGAACGGTATCCTGGAAAAAGAGAGAAGAGGGAACGTGTAAGCAAGCGATGCTGGCCTCAGAGAGCCCAGCCCCGCAGGTCTCGTCCTCGGGGCTGGGTTTTGGGGTGAGCAGAGTTTATGCTGGGGCAGCAGCACCCCTTTTTGTGCAGCGTGTTCCCCCTCTGAGAGCCGGCGTCTCCCCCGAGGCCAGCACCTCCATCTCCAGCCGCAGCATGCCCCTTTCCCCACCCTCCCACCATCCTAGAAAAGCGAATAAATGCAATGGATGCGCCAGGCGCTCCTTGGCAAAATGAAACGACTGAAGAACACACTATGTTTAAAAACAAATCGGAAGGGGAGGGAAAAAAAAAATCAAAAAATAACAAACCCTGTAAATATTTAGAAAGAGGATATTAAAAAAAGTAACAACCCAAGTGTCTGGAGCTGCGAGCTGCTTCAAAGGATTTCTCTGATACAACAGCTGTAGGAGCGGCTCACCTGCCAGCAGAACAGCCTTCATTCTTAAAATCTTTAATATGGTTGCTAGTAAAATCTGGGTTACCTGAATGATTTTCCCCACGCGAGCTAGCTCAAAGGTGAAGAGTACTCAAAATAAATTACACAACATATGCAAGGGTGGCTGGGTCAGATGGTTACAGCCACGCAGCCGTCCTGAAAATAATTGGATTTCTTTCACCTATCAGTATCATAAAAATCCAGGAATTCAACTGCTGTTTTCAACGTATTTAATTAAGTTAAAGAGGTGCTGCTTGGTTAAAGCATCTCATCCACAATCTCCCAATGTTTTCTGCACCATACTGCTTTAACTAAAGAGGAAAAATTGGTTCCATAACGAAATGCAAGTATCTTTTTCCCAGAGATGCCTCACCTAGAGCTTGCCTACAGCTCATCAGTCGAAATCCCATTGCAAATCCGCACCAGGCACGTCCTGGGAAGGTGCCCAAGTCCCCTCTTGGACCAGTCCAAATTCCCACACTGCTATCCAAAGTCTAAGCTAATAACATGCATTTTAGGACTCTGGCTTGGCTGCTGGTCACACTGCCTCCCAAGCTGGCTTTTCGCACTGCCGGGCAGCAAACACGTGGCTAGTTCTCCATTTGTTTCTCATCAGCTTCACTTACAAGTTCCCCTGCACCGGCGCTGCTATAACACTGCTCAATCAGACAACTGGAACCCCAGAAAACAATTTTATTAGCATGAAGCGCTGTAAAATGAACAATGCCACGCGATGGGAGGAAGCGCTTGCGACGAAGCGACACGCCATCCATGCGGACGAAGCAAAACCAAGATTATCCACCAACCTGATCCCTCCCGGCCCTGCTTCTGCCCATCTTTGCCACTTTTTTTTTTTTTTTTTTTTTCCAAACCAACGGTGTAATTAGCCACTGGTAATAAACCGGGGCTGCAACCCGTGCGTACCTCCTGAGCGGCTCAGGGAGCACAAGCCAACCTGAGTCACTAGGTTTAAATTTAAATTTTTCTGGAGAACTTCCTGTTTATGGTTCTCTGGTTGGACCGATATAATTTTAGGTTGTTAACCCTTTCCAGCTGCTGTGGCAGGCCCAGCAGCCGTGAATCACACTTCTTTTATAAACAAACACTTGTCTGGTGTATAATTATCCTGTCAATAACTGGGTGTGTGGTGCCTTACAGGAAGAAAGCAAAAAAAAAATAAGGATTTTTTCTTTGTGTTTTCCAACATGGGTCAAATATAAACTAAAATGAGCCACCTCCCTTACTCTCGCGGGCACAGGCTGTCCCATCCACAGCCAGGTGCCGTCACTCGATGGTTTTGGCAGTGATGGCATCAACCTATCAAGGAGGAGAAAAAGATGCGGTCTTTACCCAGTCACCCCAAGAAAAAACAGCTTGCACGACGAGCCATGGGGGCTGCTGGGCGATCTCTGGCAGCGCAGGAGCAAGCACAGGGTTTAAGCTGGAGCTAGGCTGGTTCCTAACGGGAAAGCACAATTAAAAGGGCGATTAAAGCATTACCTGCACACAACCTTCCCCTCTCCCTTGTCTGGCCAAACCCTGCCGACGCAGGTTATTTAGAGAAGCAATCCCAATCGTTGTTGTCCACTGGCAAGCTGCGGTAAATCGAGGTAATTCTGGTAATAAGAGGGATGTAGGGAACAGGCAGGGCAAAGCTGTGAATCAGCATCGGTTGGGTGCCACCGAGCCAGCAGCAGCCAAGGGGAAGGCAACGGGGAGCACAGAGGGTCCCGTCCCATTCCCCATCTCCGCTGCACCGCAGAGGGGAAGGGAAAAAAAAAACCAACAAATCCCAGCTACTTTCTTCTAGAACAAAAGAAAGTCACTGGAGCGCTTCACAACGCTGCAAATACACTTTGAAGCAGTAAATATCTCTATTAGCATCGTGATGCCAGTTGGCTAATTATGTCTGTCTCAGTAAAACCTCTAAAAAATAACCCCGTGCAAGTAAACTCTATTCACCAATTATTTTTTTTTGTTGTTGCTATTTTACAATTTGAGATAATCTTCCTAGGTTCTGAATCTTTGCCTTTTAATATGGTTCTGTGGGGGGAAAAAAAAAGATGCATAAGCAGGAACAAAAGGAGTAAGGAAGAAAAAAAAAAAAAAGATGAGAGGTATGGATCTCATCGAGCTTTTAAACCAAATGGATACACCCTGTGCTTTGAAACGCAACGGCAAGCTGCTGCCGCCACTGAGAATTTTTGTCCCTCCGTGAATCGTCGTCCCAGCCCGCAAAATGACGGGGGACAACATATGCCTGATATAGCCACGTTACAACCATTTGCTTAAAAATTAAGAGCCACCGGGTGTTTTATTCTGTTTAGAAAATGTACAATGGGCGTAATGCAAAGAAGTTGGAGAGAGATGGGTCGGTATCTCTTACTCCCGTGGATTATTGGTGTATCACGGTTATCACCGTTACCTTAAGAGCTAAGGAAAGGAAAACCAGAATCGGTGGATTTTTTTGATCTCTCATTTCTGCTGAGCGAGAGAAAGCTGGGGTTGTGTTTGGGGTGTGAAATCCCTTGAAATCCTGTTCCTGAAGAGCGCGAGCGCGCTGAGTCACAGCCGGAGCGTTCCCACCCCGGTCCCCCCCACGCCGCAGGGCTGGGGGAGCATCCCGGCCCCCGGACAGGCCACCTGCATCTTCCCCCGGGGAGGTCGCCAGGAGTTTGGGAAAGCGGTGGGGTTCAGCCGGGAGGGAGGAGGGCAAAGTACTGCAGGGAGGGGGTGGGAAGAGCTTAAAGTAGGAAAAAAAGTGTGGGTGGAGAGAATCCTGCAAGCTTCTACTCGGGGATGCTCAGGAACCCCAGGGAGGGGAAGGTGGGAGAAGCTGTGGCTAATTTTCTCTGAAGTTTCCCCAGCAATGTCATATATTTACTTGGCTTTTCCATGTGCAAACCCAGGGCCACACACCAAAGCAGCTAGTTCTCCTCTGGATGCACAGGAGAGTTGCAAACAAACCTCGCAGGCAGGGGGGAATACAGCTCAATGAGGTCTGCGGGGAGCTGGAGTTTAAAACATGTAGCTCCCCCTCCCACTCTCCGCCAGTCCCCTGAAACGAAGGCACGCAGGAATTGCCAGCGTGAATCAGACTAAATAATTTCTAATTTAGGGAGGCGATGGTCCTTTTGCCGCGTTGGACCGAGCAGGACATCAAACCTTGGCTCCATCCCCGGCCTGGAGCACGGCCAGCGTTCGGAGCGCGCACAGGGGATAAATAATCGTCGGATGTGACCCTTTCCCCCACAGCACCTTTCATCTGAACATCGCTTTGCAACTCCTAATCAGGCCCCAGAAGACTCCTGGAAGATAAGCAAGGGATAAGCACGAAGCGTTTTCACCCACAGCTGATAAGCCGCTGCCCCTGGGGATGCCGAGCCCAGCCACTTG